CATTTGGCAGCCACGCTGTCATCGACGTCCTCGCTTGAAGACACGCAGGGCGCTGGTTACAAGCAATCCAGAATGAAATGAAATGAGCTCGCGCACAACAAAGTGCACAGCTTCACGCACACCTTTGCACATCCAAGCACAGTCTCGGACACGCTCACGCACACACACACACACACACACACACACACACACACACACACACACACACACACACACACACACACACACACATACCCAGCTTCAGGTGGACTTACGGTGGCAGATGGGGAGCTGTCCAGAGAAGAAGGCGGTGCCGTTGTTCTCGCAGCGCAGGGTTGCGGCCGTGCCCGTGTAGCGCTGCGTTCCATCACAACCCACGGTGCACGTGGCGTTGGCATCCACGTCCTCACAGGAAGTGAAGGTCAGGAACGGCGGGAGTGGTCCGAACGTCGCCCGCAACGTAGTGCTGTTGCACGATGCGGGTGGTGCTCCTGCTGCCGATGCGGAAGAAGCAGCACATGTCCTGCTTCCCACCGCCAGTGTCAAGACGGCGATTGCCGCCATCAGCGCCATTCCAACTCCAACCGCAGCCATCTTGGTCGGGCTTGTTGTCTTGTCTTCTCTTCCCTGCTTAGTCTCGGCTTTGGCTCGCTCTTCTTGTTGGCTATCTCGTCGGATCACACTCAAGGGAATAAATGACGACGCACTCTCGCCCCAGGCGCTCAGCACTCACTTGCGTGCATTGTGTTGTTGTTGTGGTGGTTTTGCCGTGACAGTGCGCGATGGCGCAAAACCAAAACACGTGGCCTTGAAGGCCTTGAAGGTCCTGACTCGCTTGGTGGATGGATTGACGTGAGGGTTACGAGCTGTTGTCGCTTACTTGGTGAGTGTGTGGCTGGCTTGCGAAGCTGCGTGAACTGACGAATGAATCGCAGGCCCTCTTGTGTATTTGTGAACAACAACAGAGGAGTGTCAGCAAGATGGAGAAAGATGTGTTTGTGTGTGTGTGTGTGTGCGCGTGCGCGTGCGTGTGTGTGTGTGTGCGTTTGTGTGCGTGTGTGTGTTTGTGTCTTTGTGTTGACACGGAAGATGAACAATTGAAGCATTGCAACGCAATGAATGAACACGGGAAAGTGGGGAACAATGGACAGGTCGTCTAAGGAAAGAAGCAAAGAGAAGCAGCCGCACATGCGGGCAGCATGGGTTCTGAAGCCAACAGCACAAGCGTTCGCACACGCTCGTGCACACAAGCAACACACACCACTGCACACCGACGCACACATCGACACAGACAGACAGACAGACAGACAGACAGACACAGACACACACACACAGACAGACACACACACAGAGACAAGCAAACACAAAAACGCAGGTCACAAGAGGTGGGAGAGGGCGCTGAGCACACGATTTGCGTCATCAAGCTTCTTGCGCAGGACGGCGTTGCGCTGCTTGCAGTGGTGCATGTCCTGATGCACCTGTGACCGCTTCTTCGCCTGGGACCGCTGGTTCTGCAGCTTGCGTCGCTCGTCCACATACCGCTGCGCCAGCGTGTGCTTGTCGCTGCGCTTGAGCTCCATCAGCGCCGCCTTGATCACCTTGAACGTCGGCTTGTCCACGTCCAGCGCGCCCAAGCGGAAGTAAAAGTCGCACTTGGGCCCCGTGCGCACATTCTTCTGGCGCTGTACCACCGCACGCCCCATATCAACGGCGACAAGCTTCAGCACTTCCTGCGGCTGCATCTTGCACAGCGTGCCGGACCGCTTGCGCTTGTTGAGCAGCTTCGATAGCCGCTCCTCATCCGTCGACAGCAGGCTGCCCGTCTGGGTGTTGTGTGGTTCCGGTTCGGGCACGTGCGTTGGCGGTGGCGCCGTCGTTCGCACGGGGAACACAGCCGCTGTCGGCACGGGCCAGTGCTGCCGTAGCGACGGTGCAGCTGTGCCCATGCTTGCCATACCAGGGTGCGCCAGCATAGTGGTGGTGTTTGGAGCGTAAGGCCATACAGACGGCGATGGCGCAATGCCCGGGTGGGCCGGGAAGTTGGCCTGCTGTGGAAACAACGGCAACGGCACAGACCACGCTTGCTGTTGCTGCTGCTGCTGCTGTAGCTGTTGTAGTTGTTGTTGCTGTTGTTGGGGGAATTGTTGTAGTTGCTGTTGCTGCGGCTGTTGTTGCCGTGGCTGGACGTGGTGCTGTGGCAGGTGCTGCTGCTGCTGCTGCTGCTGCTGCTGCTGTAGCTGTTGTAGTTGTTGTTGGTGTGGCTGAGGCTGCGGCTGTTGTTGCCGTGGCTGGACGTGGTGCTGTGGCAGTTGCTGCTGCTGCTGCTGTAGTTGTGGTTGCGGTTGTGGTTGTTGCTGTAGTTGTGGCTGCAGTCCCTGTGTTCTCCTTGCTGAAGTTGCCCTTGACGACACGGGGCGCTGCTGCGTTGGAACACCAACGGGGCAGGCGTGCTTCAGGGCGCACAGTGCAGCGGCAGCCTGTGCCTCCAGCGACTCCTCGTTGTCGTCGGCTGGTGAGGATGCCTCGTCCACCTCATCGGGTTCCGACTTTATTGCGTCGGCGCTGTCGTCTGAATCGGAAATCATCTGCTCGCTCCTTTCCCTGCTGTCATTGTCATGCCCGTTGTGGTGCTGGCCCCTGTGCTGCTCCCTTTTTGATGCCACGAATGTTGGCGTCTCTCTGCCATCATCACCTTCATCATCATCGTCGTCGTCAGCGCTGTCATCGCTATCACCGTTGCCGTTGCTGCGTTTCGTGCTTCCGGTGTTGTTGTTGCTGTTGCTGCCGCTGCTGGCACCACAGCAATTGCTACCATCACCAGCAGCGTCGCCCTTGACGCCGTTGGAGCGAGGTTTGCCGTTGCTGATTATAATTCGTCTTGGAATTGGCGCCAGCGGCGGTGGCGACGAGGCCAGCAATTCCTCCTTCTTCAGCAACATCCGCCCCCTGGCGCCTTCTCCCGCAAGCACGTTGCTCATCCTGTGTGGTAGCACAGAACAGGCAGTTCGGGCATGGTGCAGGTGGCGGTGTCATGTTGGTTGTAGGGTGAGAAGAAAGCGTGGAGGCTCACATCACCATCATCATGACAAACTCGGTGCGGAAGAGGCGCCCGTTGCCTCTTTGACCAAGGATGAGTGAGTGAGTGGCAATGGTACCACACGACTGTGCCATTACACGGCCACAGCCGCCGGTTGTTGTCTGTGTGAGTGTGTGACACGACACAGGCCCCGCCCTCCCCTATGTCATAACAACCTCGCCAATCATGCAAGTTTTCCCTCATGTGGAGTGTTGCTTGTTTGCTTTTGTTTGTGTGTGCTTGAGGCTGGTCGGTGTGCGTATGTCAAGCCACCAGCAGCACAGATGGCGCAGTCACACACACACATCACAGTCACGCAAGGAGCAAGCAAGCGAGGAGGGGTTGCACCCGCACACGCATACCTGCCTTCTTTTCTTTTCTTCTTTTTTTTTCGCTTGGCATCCGTGTGGATAATCTGTGGAAATGTTCGCCAGATTTCGACGAGCAGACACAGCTGTGACATGGATGTTTTTCGTTGGAGGCGCGAAGAAGACGCGAAGAAGACGCGCGCAACAACCTGGACCTGAGTCATCAAGCAGTGGCGTGATGTGACAATGTGACAGCTGCTTGTGATGCTGGCAGAAGGGATGATGACTGAAATGGTTTTCTGGTTTCTGGTTTGTGGAGGAGAAACAACTCGGAGGGTTGGAGATGACAGTGGATGAGTGTGCATAAAGGAAGGTGGGTGCATGCGTATGTGTGTGAGTGTGTGTGTGAGTGTGTGTGTGCGTGTGTGCGTGTGTGTTTTTTGTTTTTTGTTGGATTGTGATAAGGTCTTAAGGTCACCAGTGTCCATTCGTACAAAAGGACACACAAGGCAATATGTGCACGCTGTGCGGTTTGCAAACATCTCCAGTGCTCGATTGTGTATGTGTGTGTACAAAGAGGCAGCACTCGGCAGGCAGTAACATTCAACAAGCACAGCAACGGTCAATACGAGCGAGAAGAGGAAAGAGAAGAACGTGTTACATCAGAGTGCGACGTGAGGACATTGAAGGGGGGATAGGAGGGAGCAACACCAGAGTGCAAGGGCACCTGACATCCGTTTTTCCTCACAGTCAGAGATCGGCTAGAAAAAGAGGAATGAAGAGAAAGGAGGGGAGGGGGGACGAGAGACAAGAGTGAAGGAGGCATGACGCACACGGTTCTCAAGTGAAAAAGAAAAAAAAAGATGGGAAGGTGCAATGCAAAGGGACACGCAAGGGTTGCTGTAATGTAACATGCAGCAGCGTTGGTATCACTAAATCACTTGAGCTGTCCCAAGAACACTTCCAATTCCTCTTGTCTCGCCGGGGAGGCCTCGGCATCAGCCACCCTTGCCACCTGCAAGCACACAGGCGGACAGGGTGTGTGTGTGCGTGTGTGCGTGTGTGTGTGTGAGAGAAAAGTGTGAGGTGTGTGTGTGAGGAAAGTGAGAGAGAGAGAGTGTGTGTGTGTGTGTGTGTATATATATATATATATATGTATGTGTGCAGGTGTGATAGAGGGGAAAGTGCATGCGGTCATGGTTGCCAGCGAGCAAAACGACGACTCGTCGAGATGAACACGGGTGAATGCTGTTACCCAGGCCCGTACCTGAGCAAGTTTCTTGCTGAACGGTCCAGCCTGTGTTAGGGTGTCTGCTTGCTCTGCCTGTGGTTGTGACTGTTGGTTATGCTTTTGTTCTTGTTTCAGCCGTGCAATCTCAGCTTCAAGCTGTGCATTTCGTTCGCGCAGCGCTCCCAGCGTCCCTTGCAACCTGCTCTCAAGCTCTGCTTTCGCCGCCGTGTGCGTTGCATCAGCCACATCCCCCGCGCTTGTACAGCGCCTACACAATGTGTGCGTGCGTGCGTGTGTGTGTAAGTGTGTAAGTGTGTGTGTGTAAGTGTGTCAGTGTGTGTGTGTGTGTGTGTGTGTGTGTGTGTAGTAGTGTAGTAGTGTGTGTGTGTGTGTGTGTGTGTAGTGT